ACACACACACACACACACACACACACACACACACACACACACACACAGCTCGTTTCATCACCATCGACTGTCCAAGTAGTAATAGATGAGTAAGCACTTTAAGCCAGCCTACTGACCCATTTCCCATGCCAGCTACACACATCAGGAAATATCTTAATGAGATCAAAGTAATCCTTAGTTTTTTCTTGGGACACCTGTAACACCCCTATCAAAGATAGATATGGGTAAAGGGGGTGGGGGGCTCAGACACAGACTCCCCTTGTGCTTATTCAAGTTGTGTGACTCACTCACACTATTGTTGAGTTGGCAGCCGTATTTCCACCATCATCTCTCCCTCTCCTCCTCGTGGCCCGTGTATCACTTTAATAATCTTCCATGTTCGTCATCACTCGTAGTAAAATGGGCGGCGATTGTTCATTCACTCGCTCGCGCGCACACACCCTCCTATTGAGATCACGGGACAAACGGGGGCGGGCTGGAGCTGAGGCAGCACACCGCCTGCCAAGAGTGGAGCGATTTGGAGCTTTAACTTTTTACAGCCTCCGACATGGTTTCTAAACTGATCAATCTGACTGATAGGAAGTAAACCTTCAAAGGCTTTCTGCTTTTTTTTTGTTTCCTTCGCGACCCCATGCCAGCACACCCCGCTCTTCTTGATCTGGCTCCCTTTATTGAGGGCAATGAAGTGACAAATAAGCTCCCAACCAGCCACAAATTCGCATCAACTGCTTGTCCAAAGAAAGACCAGTGTGTGTGTGTGTGTGTGTGTGTGTGTGAAGGGGCGGGGGGCGTTTAACGTCTGTGGGCGTTGCAGTAATAACCACCAATACCAATAACTATTCCAACGCGCATCACCACGCCCACCAAACTACTCGACTTTATCGTCGTTTAACTTCCACTGTTTTGATATTTTGAACAGTGTGCAATTTCGGGTGCAAGCGATCACAAACAAAGACATGCGCGCAAGCTGCGCGTGTTTAGGTGTGATCTGCCGCAAGTAAACCCAACCGGCTCCTGGAGGCTATTATCAGGGGGGCACGGTTCAGGATAAGAGCGCCAGAAAGGTGTTGGGAAGTTAAAAAGTCACTCAAGTTTGGACTGTCCCACGTGAAAGGCGATAATTAGATAACAGATCACATTGACCAAACAACACTGGTCAGACTTTAGTGCGCTGACTCCCCAGAAACCCAGACCTAAAGGACAGCCCAAAACACCGCCCCTCCCCCCCAAAAAAAACGAGAGGTGATGCAAATCACTTCCTTTCAATCCGGCTCTTTGTGTGTGTAAGGATTGACTGGGGGTGGCAGCTATCCATTCACTTTATACGGCTGCCGACCTCAGTGATCCTGCCCACCCCCACTCCAACTCCAGCAGAGCCACCCACTCCTACACACACACGCACGCACACACACACACGCACACACAAACACAATGGCGTGAGATCTCCTTACACAGGCAATTTTCTCTCCCTGTCCTCTAGCTCTCCTTCCCTTTTCTAGCCATGGGATGATCAGGAGTTTTCAGGGTAACAATGACCAAACTAGGACCCGGGCTATCCCACAGCAATATCATGATTAGGTCATTTCATGAATAGATATGGCTGAATTCTACACTGAAACATAAACAGAAATAGTTGTGGTCTCAGATAGCTTTCATGGGAAAACACTAACAAATTGGGCATCATCTTGGGGATTTGAAAGTAAAAAGCCCATGAACCCCAAATTCACAACGAAGCTAATTTACATAAATGACTCCGATCCACGTGCACTGAATGATTAAACATGTACGGTAAAGATGATCGAGCGTCAATATGAAAAACAATTCTCCGAATTGTTACACACACGCGTGGGGTTTAAGAGTCACCTGTGGTTGAGAAAAACACAGATAATTCCCCCCCCCCCCCACACCTCATCGATTATAGAAGATCAAAGGTTCCGCTTTAATCAACTACAATACTTCTCTCACTGCTGTCCTGAATCACAACAGAGCCTATTTGAATCCACAATATAATAGAAGAGCATCTGACGTCGGAATAACTCGACACATTGAGGAACATCATGGTTAAAACTTACTTTCCTCTGAGCACTAACTCACCTGCTTACAACCAAAACAAAGTCGACTCGACTCCCAACCCCCTGGTTCACAAAGCAGCACAGCACTCACCGCTCATTGAAGTAGGCTATAACGAATGGACGCTCCAGAAAGAAAACAAATGCCAAAAAGAAAAATGTATATATGTCCGGTTCCTTGAGGTCCACGGTATCCCTTTGTATCCGCAAGTTTGGAGCTCCGAGTCTGCAGAGAAATTCCCGACGAGCCGGCTGAGCGGAGAACAGCTACAACCCGGTAATCCCTATTCGTCTCTGTCGCTTCGTCCCGAAACAACCATGAAATGTGAGCCGCCCGATGTCCGGACAGCCTCTCTGATGTCCGTGATATGTCCGTGATATGCCCGTTCTTGTCTATCTTCTGGTCCTTACTCCGTTTGATGGCTGCCTTTGGCCGTGCAGCGACAGCCCCGCTCGCTCGGCTCTCTGTGTCTCTCCGCGTCGAGCTCCTTTTTTCCCCTCTGCTTTCGCACTCACGAGCAGCCAGGCAGGGATCGTATTGCGCTGAGCTCGGTTTTAAAGGGACAGAGCCACGCAACCCTCAAACACGCGCAAATCGAAACAGAGGCGCGCGCTTACGTGACGTCACCGCACGGCCCCCGGAATTCCCTGACAGCGCAAACTGGCACCGAGTCCAACTCCCGGTACCGGAGCTGCTCCCCCGCTCCTCCTGAGTGGTTTATTCATTTGTACCATGTCTGTTTTTTTTAATTTATTTCGCCCCACAGTTTATTTTAGGCAGACTCGTGACCGAGAGTTGGACTTATTGCCACAGGAAGACAGATACAGTATCACAGTGTTATCATTAGATTTAGTGGACTATAAATAGGTCCATCTATCAGCTACACAGGCTTAAAGGTCTCAAAGAAAAACAGGTATGTAGGGGTTATAACAGTCACTGTAGATTGTATCCTTGTGGGTTAATAAAGCATACTCACTGGAAGATACATATGGATTTATAAAGAGATTTTTAAAATGTAATCCTGCCCTTAACTAAGCTTTACTGGAAGGCATTAGGGAACATTAGTACATTGTATTTTACATTGTACCTGATACATTTTATACCTGCTACATATTTAGTTCACAATTTATACACATGCACCTTTTGTTAAGAAGTCATGAGTTGCAAATAATGGCTTTATCAAGATGAATAAACAATTTAACCATGATTTATGGATCAGTTAAGCCATTTTAAAAGAACATGTGGGTTGCCAGGTTGGTGTTTATCATTCACTATTTGTCAGTGGTGTATAGTACTGTACTTAAGTCATTTTTTTGGATATCTGTACTTTACTTTACTATTTATATTTCTGTTGACTTTTACTTTTACTTCACTACATCTTGCAAAG